CACACAGGCCATTACCATAGCTTTTAACAAAGTGCTATATTATGTCTCCTCAGAACAAATCAATTCCACAGCCCCAGGGTCAGGCAGAGCCAGGAGCCTCACATGCTGATTCAGTGCAGTGTTAGCATTACTGCACTTGCTAACAGAGCCCCGCTGAACGCTAGAAGCCAAAAGAACGAACTTGCACCACCCCATCTGTCTGCAAGGGCTACAAGTCCTTCCACTCCCTCTCCAGATCCAGGCGTAGTACTGCCCATACTGGCCTACGGTATCACATTTGATTGAGTTTGTTCATTACTATGAGATTTTGTCCCCTAAAAAAAGTTTACATTCTCAAAGATACACACATGTGGGACTTTTGTTAGACTATATGGAGCCCTGTTGAGGGCTTGCCACCTTTTGGTTCATTTTCCTGATAGAAAACATGACAAATCTAGACACAAGACTTAAAAGCTCTTGCAAAGCAAACAGAATAATGAGTTATCCAAAGAAAATAAGATACCTGGGGACAATTATTACAATTAAGCTCCATTTCTAACTCTGTTCCACAAAGACAAAATTTTCAGCCAGTTCCTTAGGCTTTCCAGGACTGTCCTGCACATTTTATTTGCACTCTTTTCACAAATCAAAAGGAAAGAAACCTGGTGACCAAGGAAGAGGATGACCACTAGTGAAAGTCCATCCATGTCAAAAAACACATCAGCATCACTGGAAGCATGCTACCGCTACCACTGGTTTTCTTGCTTCTCATAGTCATACCCATTCCCATTCCCAAACTCCAGGCACATGTGTGGCACAGGCTATATCCTACATCACAACACTCGTGCCAGCAGTGCTTCTGCCCTGGCAATGCAGCTGAGAAAGGCAGACTCATCCAGGAAGGGTGATCTAACCAGCAGCTTTAGAGGCTCAGCGGCTCTTTCATTCAGCGGGGCTTCAGAACAGCTGCTCCTCTGCAAGGAGAAACCAAGATTCATTTTCTTCTTGTGAACAGCAGGACATTCCCTCAGACTTCTAATTTAGTGCAAATTCACAGACAAGTAGGAGCAGCAATTCTGCACCACAAACGATAAAGAGTTCAGTTTGTTTTAACTGTATGATAGGCATCAGATGAGTAAGTTCAGCTTCTGAGTGGAATTTTTTAAATGAAAATAAATTATCATGCCTTTTCATCTAGCAAGTCCAAAATTACTCAAGTACTTTATTTATCCACCTGGAGTGTTTTCTGGTTCCATAACAAATTCCTTCTGGCAAGCAAGCATTCATGATTAGCCATATTTTTAAGTAGCTTTTTATTTTGTCCAGAGATTTAAAATTTAATATAAAGTTTATTGTTTTGTATTTTGAGGAATATTAAACTATGCTCAGATTCAAAAGTGCCCTTCATTTATTTAGATTACTTTATTGTGTTATCAATGTAAAAAAACTTAGTAATCACAAAAAGCTCAAAGAAATACGAATTTTGAAAGAGTTTTTAGTTTTAGGGTAGAAACTGTGTCTCACCATAGCCTCTTGTCTACAAAGTGCTTGTAAGGGGCTATCAGTATATTTCTTTCTCAAAAGGACCAGTCCAACACTTGAAACCTTAAACACGGGCTGTGATACAATGGTCACCAAATCAATTCATGTTCCCTGTGACAGAAATAGCAAACAGGCGGTGATGCTGAACTGATGCCTGCCTGCCATATCTGTCAGTGAACACTATATGTTTGCACAGGTTTATTTGTTTTCCAAGGGCTAGCAATGAGTAGGAGGATCAGGATCAATCTTATAATAAAATACCCTATGGATTTCTTTCAGCCACCCTCCAGGTATATCAGTTTTTAGACTCATAACCTTGACAACATCCTTCTGGAGATTGATATGCCACTCTTGTCTTCTCATACACAGCTACTGCAGCACAAATGGATCGGGTGCTGCGGGCTGATCCACCGGTGCATGTGCTCAGGTGAGGCACACATCACCATAGTATCAGGGTCCCCAGCAAAATGAACAAGAAAAAGCAGAGTTCCTGTTTCTTTCCAGAAGGCAGAATAAATGGAATATAAGTATGTGCACACCCAGGAACTACACAGGAGAATTCATAATCCTGTGCACGGCAAAAAAGTTAGCTTTATGTTTTGTTTTTAACACTGTGAGTGATTATCTCTTTTAGCTCTTGGACTTTCTGCCCAGACTGATGAAACTTTAACAACCAGCCAAGATAAAGGGAGCAGACATGTCTTCAAACCAGTCTTCTCAAGAGAAAGAAGGATGGACTTGGCACCCATGCACCTGACGCTGAAAAGCTGTAATCTGAAATCCCAGTTTGTAACCCTGGCTGTTGCTTAACTGGACCTCAGAGCCTGGTTCCCCATGCCCTGCCTCAGCCTCTGTTTTTCTTGCTGCTGACTGGGATTTCTCATTTGTGCCGTATCCCTGAAATAAATGCAACGAGCCTAGAGATGGCCTGTCGGAGTCAGCTGTTTATATCCCTGCTGAAGTCTGTCTGGAGAGCGGGATGCTCATTAAACAATATTTCACACATTGATGATCTTTCCTGCTTTTTCTTTTTCCTTTCTTTTACAATAGCCTTCAGAAAAAGAGATGCATTTAAGAGTTGGTGCCACTGATGCATAATATGACTAAGTCAATAGGAAAGTAAAGATTTTTTAAAATGTAGATGATCGATCTTTGAAATTGTAAGGGCTCCTTCAACGTCATTAGGGTTTGTCGTGTCAATATGTTAATAAGGACTTCCGTAAATGAAGATTAATGATGCTAGGGATAATTATCGCTGAAGAAACTCGCATATTTCTCAGTATTTGGAAACTCCATGCAAAGGTGAACATGTCAGGTTTTCCTTGACTACACCTTAGCTCCATTTCTGCTGTTAGAGTAGGGGGAAGATTTTCTTTGACACAGTGGGAAGTTAAACTCCCAGTTTCTTTGGAAATCAGTGGTAGCTGAGCTGAGTAAGTCTGATTTGTGCTTTTTAAAATAAACCCCCATACACAGTGAGCGCAGCTGATTTGCAGATCTACTGAATCCACAAGCCAAAATCATTCTGAATATTTTTTCTTTCCAAAAGAATCTGAACATGTACAATAGTTGCTTTTCTAAATTAAACACTCAAGTCATGCTTCTTATTACTGTTCCCCACAAGACCGTATATTTTGCTAAAGGGGTGAAAAGTTACAACTTGAAGAAAAAGAATCAAAGCTTTTTGTTAACTTGCAGGAATGTAAGGAAGTCCCTACAGCTAATAACCTGATTTTGCAGGGGGCACATGTGCACATTTTTTTAATCTAAAAACATAAAATTCAATATTTCTCAAGTTATTTCTGCTCTAAGGCTAGGGCTCAAATGCCAAGTACTGTCCAGATCATTAACGGTATAGCTCTGCTGGGGTTTCCCTTGCATGAATATATCTGGAAAGCTAAAATTGGTGGGGGATCATTTGATTCTCAATTATGAAGCACCAATTCCCCAAATAGTCCTTAGGATTGTAATTTGTTTTCATGAAATACTTGGTGATAGGTTTTAGTCATAATTTTTTCAAAAACAGTAGCAAGCATACCTTGGCAAAGTTTGAATTGGATTGAGGCAAACACAGCTTGACCAGCTTTTGTGGATGGAATCAAAATGATCTGGAGATGGACTTTTTGATTTTTAAAGAAAGATAATCAAAGACAAAAGAATTCTGAATCCAGGCTAGGATATCTTGGCTCTTTTCCAATAGATTATTAAACTGGCAAGCCACAGCACAAATCCGTATTCCGGTTTGGAGGGGGAACAAAGGCTGAGCAAAGGGTGTCAGCACAGTTCCTGTCTGGCATGATGCCCATCTTTGGTGGCCTGTAGGACCACATCAGAATCTGTTTTGTCTGCAGCTAAATTGCAACTCACAAAAGACTTTGCCGAAAGTGCCTCTGCATCCTGAAGTACTTAATCAGTGAGGTATTTTGAAGAAAGATATCTTCACACAGCAGAAAAATATCTAGCAGCTAGATATATAAAGTACCTGCTTATGAATCCTGTCATCAGAGGGAACATTATAAAATGTACATGAACACAGAGAGATGCACTGACTGGTGTTATTGGAATCCTTCCCCAGTGGATCCCACTCCTTAGCTGTCGGTAATGTACATGTCCCTCCCTTACTTTACCCAAGTTGTTAGAGTTTATTCTGATCTTGAATAAGCGGATAATCAGCCAACAGACACTATATGAAGATGAGAAGTGGATTTCAAAATCATATTATACTGCAGATCACATTTGAAGTTATATTAGCCTATAAGAAAATATTAGTACATGAATCCGGAGAGCTTGTTCCTTGCATTAGGGGTTTACAGAAACACACACAAAAAAAGAGACCTTTTTACAAGCTTCAATAAACCATCACAGGTTCTGCTGGTGTGTATACATTTTAAGGGCTGGAATGACCAAGAGGAGACAAATCTCACATTGTCACAAGCTACTGAAGTTCCTGGTCCTGTGTTAGGAACGAAGCATAGAAGACAGACAACACTGCAAAGCAATGGTCTCTTTTTGGTGACGAAACAATCACATTCAGCACACATTAAGTTAGCCTTGACAGATAACTGCACACAGTAGCAGCATACATGTTACTAAAAATTATTTCTTTCTAAGTTTCATTCCAGGAATTCATTTGTAGCACACATATGTGCTATCTGATATATCTATTTTTATGAGACAAGCTGTATTCATTATTTGATTTTTTTTACCATCTTTTTTTACCATCTTTTCAACTGTACCATCATTACAAAATGACCTAAAATCAGAGAATGCTGACAATGGGACTGAAATACTTAAATTCTCAAGAAATCAATAAAAGTCTATCCATTGAAAACTCTCCTCTTTTGGTATCGATTAGTGGCCCGATACCAGGAGACACAAATACGCATAAGGAAAAAAGGTCTCATAGACTGGACACTTCTGAATTTGTTGACAGAGGCCACAGATACAACAGTACAATAGAACAGAACAGAATTTCTTACCTTTATGATGATTTGCCCCAGATGCTAATTTCCCCCACAGCGTTACAACAAATATTATTATTAGCAGTTTTCCTTTTATTGCTTTCTGTAAGTATCTCTTATTCATCCTGCAAACAAAAAAACACAAAAATTAGTATTTATCTTAAGACTTCTTTAAAAAATATTGTCTTAATTTAAGGAGAATTCAAGAAGTTTTTATAAGTGTCTGGCTGACGACCCTTAAGTCTTAAATTCTGCTTAGCTTTGAATGAGGTAGATCATATAAAGCATCAATATAACCTCCCTCTCTGGTCTGCCAGCGTTCCTCCACCCTGGTCAGTACCAGGACAATTCAACACCTCTGCTCATCACGTTTCTCTCAAGGCACAAGCAGTGGTCATAACCACAGCAGACTCCAAAGCTGGCAAGAAGGATGAATCCGTGCAGCTATGTGGCAGGTTTTGATGAACAGAGCAGTTCCACTAGTGTGTTTGGGGCCAGTCATGGTCAATGTGGTTCTCTCTGACCGCGCAGTGGAGTTTTTAGCTTTTGGGATTGCAACTCTTTTTGGATTGTGACCACGAGTCATAAGGCGGTAACAAATTTGAATAGACCTCCAGCACACGTACCAACCCTCCCACAGAGAAATCCTGTTATGAAGACATGAGTGGTTTGGATACATGGACTCTAGCAGGGCGGATTCACTAGTCTCTCTCCTGTATATCTTTGGGTAATGAAAAGATTTGATTTACTGCACCAAGGGAAATTGCACACAGCTACCCTCATCTTGCTCAGCGATGTTTTCACTGTGACAGCAAGCCACCGTAGTGGTTCAAGCACAAGGTAACACATGACTTATTTCTCAGTAACCTCCTCCAAAGACAAAATACCCCTCCACCTGCCAAAAAGAAAAGTTCAGGAACGTAGGCTCTACTGCTTAAGGATTACAGTTGTGCAGATAGTGGCAAGAGGTATAATAATGAAACCTTCTCTCACTTTTCATTCTCTGTAGAAAAGCCCTAGGGAGCTGGCTAAGAAACAGCTCTGCATGATGGTCATGTTTCTGCTGATAGGTCAATAGGACGATGATGCTTATTTCAAATCATTTATACTAGAAAAGCTGCAAATTTGATCACTTGAACAAAATTCTTGCTTTTTTGTAATGCCAGGAACTAGGGTGCCTTTCTGAGCAGAAAAAATGCATTGCTTCAGTATGGTTGCACATTTGTCTCCGATTATGTTCATAAGAAGCCCAAAGGAATTTAAGAGCATCTCTTTTACTCTGTTCGTGTACAATGCTATCTTGGGCAACCACAACTCTGAAAGGCAGACTGCTCTAATACAGAATTAACCAGTAGCCTGTTCAAAGTCCCAAATCTCTTTCCATTCCTTCAAAGCAATTCCTTTCCTCTGAGCAAATTGCTTTCTAACAGAACACCACATGCTGATAAGGCAACCCCCCCACACACCCCACAACTCCACTCATGATTTCCAGACTTGTAACCACACCACTTCCCCCAAAACTGCCAATCTTGCTCTCCAGGAGATTGATGAGATCTTGTTAAGCACCGGTAAGTTTCTACACCAGGCAGTGTGTAACAAAGCACTACAACTCAAATTAAGAACCCACTGAGGAGTGTACCAAACCCTTTTAAACCTGAATTCAGAGCAAACAGAACTCAGCATCCTTTGACAGAAGTCACACATCTACAGTGTGTTTCCCAGAGGTTCAGATATCACATTTATCAGGGAAAAAGAGAGAGGAGTAAGCAAGTGCTGTATCTAGGATGGTGGATGTGCCCCTGAAAGCCTGACTGATTAATAATCACAGTGGAGGTCACAGTGTGCTGTGAACCACACCATGCTCTGCCTTCTTGCACTGATTCCAGTGCCTTTGGAGTGTAAACTGCATATTCATCATCAGCTCCAGGTTTATGAAGCACTCAAAGCTAAAGGGAAATATATTATTTGTCACTGTAAATAAGAACAAAAAAATGAAACTGGAAGGCACATTCAGTGTATGCCCTTTCACAGCTATCTCTGTGAACAGAATATGAATTAACTCTTTCACTCCTGGTTTCTCATACTGCACCTGTTATGATGCTGGTGCCAAGTCATCTCATTAAAATCAAATCTTTCTTCCTCACCTACCCAACACTGCTCAAAACCAGTGGGACTTGCACCATTAAGCAAAGTTGAATCTAATACAGTTCCTTCCTGTACTCTGCTGATGCCAGATTCACTAACTGTGCTGCGAGGCTGGCCACAAATGCACAGCAGAAAATGTAAACACATGAGGAAAAACAGTAGCGGCAAGGGGAAAGAAAGAAAACCAACCGTGAGCAGCAGCCCCTCAGGGTAGGTGGCAGAGTGAAGATACAAACCTCTGCCCACAGCCCAGCACACCAAAGAGGAGTAAGCCAGCATTGAATATAAAAGAGACTGTTCTGCAAAGTAAAGGGTTTCAGCTTTGATGCAGAAAATCGAGGCTCAATGCCATTGCCAGGTTTTCCAATCATGAGAAAAACAATACACCATTTCTGTACCACAAGCCTATTACACTACTCTGCATTACTTATTTGTGGCATTCACCTTTAGAAGGACACAAACCATAACTTTGTCTTATAGCACTCCCATAATAGGCACAATTAACAGAAAAGTCAGTGGAAGTAGCAGTTCTAGCTTGGGACTAACAGTTCAGAGGCCATCGGCAGAAGTACAAAAAAAGTATCTCAGCAGTTAAAGCATTCATAACCTACAGCAGCTCAAATGAGAAAAAGTTGGAAGTTGATGTTAAGTTTCAAACTAATTACGCAATATAACACTGGACCTGCAGTTGTGTGCGTTGGCCACTCACAACGGTCAGTCCAAGGACAGACGAGTGGCTGCATAAGCACAAACAAGGTACGAAGCGCTCTGCTCCCAGCAGTCCCGCTACACACACAGACGCCACGCTGTAGCAATACAGCCCTAGAAATAAAAAATGAAGGGACTGTGGTCCAAGAAACTCGGGGGCTTAGGATGGATGCATCTCATCAGCAAAGCAGTCAAAGAGCTAGATAACAAGGAGAGGCCATGAGATATGCTTAGTATCTGGGCGCATGCATTATCACCTGGGCTCAGAAACTGTGAGGCTGGTTATTTTTTCTGGATTTGCAAAACAGCCCATGATATAGCACTGAGAAGACACTGGAACTAGATAGCATTTGACCTCAGCTCTGAAACATAACTATTAGCCTCTTGCAACCCTGATCCATGTCAAGTAAGTGCATCCAGGAAATAAAATTCAGTCCATTACCGTACTGTTATTACACTAACATAACAGGCTGTGTTAAATAGAACAAATGAGCTCTGAAATGAGGTCTACTTTTACTAGAGGTGATGCAGACCTCCACAGACAAACTATAGCTATTAACCTGAATGGTTTTCTCTGTGAGACATTTTCCTCTTCTATTTACCTTCCTTTCTGCAGAACCTCTCCCTCGCTGTGATTCTTACAGCCTTCAGTAATGCCACATAAGCCAAAGATGAACAAAACTGAGAATAGCTGTGCTATAGGAGATGCCTACATTTGAAAATCAATTTTACACAAAAATACAAACTTTATGTGTAACAAAAATTTCCTTCGGTTTCTAACCCCAACATATTGGAAATAAACCCAAGGAATTCTCAGCACTTTCCCGCAAAAGAGGACATGAAAGGCTGCCATGTTTGAGTTCATTTTTCAATGTGCTTAGAGACAAGGAAAAAGAAAGATAGCTCCTTTTGTGGTTGCAGGGACACCTTCAAAATAAAACAAAAAGATGTCAGCCACATAATTCAAACAGGCGGTGGCTGAGTGTGAGATGACTCTGCCGTGACCAGCTCTTCATTAACACTGTAACACAACAAATAAATTCATAGGATTTGTTACTTTTGCTCCATGAGATTCCTTTTCCACGAAGTGCACTCCATGAGACCATCACCAGTCTAGTATCGTGGACTCAAGAATAGACTGTTTTGGTGATTAGTGACAAAAATAGGTTAAAAATAGCAGAGGTTTTTTCAGGGTGAAACCACATCTGATGCTGCAGAGAAGCTTCACAAACTGCTGTGTCAGCAGAAATCCTTCTCCCTGGCTTCCGTGGCTCATCAGAAGCAAACTGTGAATACACTAATAGGTTGCACAGGTCTCCCGCATTGTTGTTCCACCTCACTGTCAGCCCCCTCCCAACAGCAGATGTGGCCCAACTATTCGGCTGTACTGAAACTGTCATGCGCAGATGTGTATTTTCAATTTCACTGCAGCAATGTAGCATCCATAAGCTTCTGAGTTTCTACTTTCTTCCTTCTTTGCTTCTGGGCTTGAGATCAGCCACTTTTCCAACAGTTCAGAATAGAGAAGAATCACATGGGAATTACCTTACATTGTATGGCCAGTGCTAAATTGCCTTGCTTGCCTATTTTAAGTGAAGTGTAACCTCATGTAATCTTTATTGTTGAGGAGAAAAAAATGTAAGGAAATAATAGCTTTCATTCTTCCGTTAAGAGCTTACACACAAATAAAATTCTCATCTGTTTCCTAGGAGTAACAGCATTTTTCTCTGTTGCTCCTTTTCTTTCTTTTCTTTACAAACATCAGCTTCTGTGAAGCTGTTCAAAATTCATTCGTTCCCGCTTTACGTATGTAGAAACTTTCTGTGTCAGTAAGATCCATTTGTCTTCTGCAAACACATACATCCTGTGAATGCAAGCGTTCATAAAGAGAAGCGTAACCCTGTTTCTCTACTGAATCCTGATGAAATGTTTAAGAGACAAAAACCTGATAGAAAATTAGTCCCACATTCTCTTACTTTTCTTTTTACAACAAATATTTTGTTTGCTACTTCAGAGAAACCCTAAATGAGTAATAGAAATCACTTCTGACCCCAAGTCTCTTGTACAGAAATAATGCAGGCATTTAAATTATGTTCCGTACTGTGTTGAATCTTACATTATTTATTAGTTGTGTTAGTTTCTACATCCCACGCAATGCAGGTATTTGCAGTTTTATTTAGCCTTTCCTGTGTAAGCTAATGCAGATTTAAAAATGACCCTCTGGTGGATAAGGTCACTCTGTAAAAGTAACACTGATGTGACCCCCGTGTG